CGGAACAGACCCGATACACGTGAAGATTTGCGGAACCATGCCGATGCCCCATATGATAGTGGTGCAGGTTGGCGACTGTGTAGCTCATGCAGCCCCTCACCTCCCCATGTCCCATGCAGTACACAGAGATCGATGGCATGAAGCACGGCTAGCAAATGAAAGCATCACGACGATGCACGAATTGCGGGTCGAAGCTGCATCACCACGGCTACACCTCACTAGGACGGTCTTGCGCTCCGATCAAGACGAACGCGATGGGCTTGTCAGCTCACCGCCAATCCGTTGCCGATCAGCCGGAGTTTATCCTCTTGCCGCGCATTCTGCGACCGTCACTCGTACCTCCGCACCTGGACCAAGTAGGCCCACTCGTCGTCTACGGTGCATGATACCATTCGCAGTTTGTCCTCAGTCACGAACCTGTCAACACCATCAGTGCGACGGACTCACGATGTATGACGACTCACGAGGCCTCACCTACAGGAGGTCTGCTCAGTGCAGCTCGCACTGCTACTGCCGTCACTGCTTTTGTACCCGGCCATGGCTCGTCGTACCATCCTTCCCAGCACCTGGCACTTACTTCCTTGAGCCTGGGCGACGCATGCCCACGAAACATTGTACATCTTGTCAAGATCGTAGCCAACCGTCGAAGCGTTCCCTCGCTCATGAGCCTGATGGCATGGTTTGCTCGACCATCCAGATATCCAGCAAGGCTCATCGAGCCCGACTTGTGCCCCCACGCGAATGAACAACAGGCTACCGGCTGCCTAGCTGGTGTCAACCCGTTCGCTCCAGCATCGTGCACCCGCACCTCGTCGTGCAACGGTCCATATGGCCCGACGGACGCTCTCAGCGTCATTCGTGCAAGTATTGCCGTTCGCGACACATTCTAGGACCAAATTATTAGACGATAACGCCTTGCCATGCGGCTAGTGCTGATATCAACTGAAACTTACCATCACGACATCAAGTTTGCACGATTCTTGCCAGCGCACGTCAGATAACGGTGGCGTGAACTCCCTGCATGCCTTGCAACGATCGCACGTCCTCCAAATCTGGCGCCCTCAGCAGATTCTCGCAATGTCGATCGAGCGTAGGTCATAACAAGAGCCATCCTTGCTACTTGCGGAGCGTGGAGGCGCGCATGCGCTCGTATCGCCCATAGGTACGCCGATCTTCCTTTCGGGACGTCATTCTATTGATCTCGTCCGATCTTGTCAGAGAGCGTCGATCGAGAGCGGACTGGGGAAAGATGCTTACCCTACCTGAGAGCTGCGGAGTCAACAAGTATGGCGCGTCCTTCGCGCCGGGTTGGCAAACGATCGTCGCCACTGCAGCGAGCTGGTTATGCACACAAATGGATGCTATCATTGTGGGCGAGGACGGTTTCGGATGGACATGGAGCTGAGCTGTGATTCGCGGCGGCGAGTGGTTGGGAGACATTTCAGACGAAATGAGAACGTGGTGGACGATGAACACTGCTTTTGAAATCGGCGAAAACCCTCGCTACCGGGCAAGAAAAGGTGAGTGCCGGATGGACTTGCATGCTATAGGATACATAGATCATGTTAGTAGCGTTTTAGTGAGAAGACGAAATAAAACTGGCTGGACTTACGAGAGCTGACCTTGTGTGCTTCAAATGACTAATGCGAGTCCCTCTCGGTATGGACTACACTTTAAAGCCCTTTCTGTCCTTTGCCAGTCTCCATCCCTCACATTGTCTGCGGTCATCCAACGCTTCCTTTCAAAGAAATATATTCGCGCGCTCTGTACGTACATGAGCACGGCCTGTCCATTGACGTCCGGGGCCTTCACGACCCCCACCGCAGTGGCGTTCGCTGTCTTCCTCGATGCTGCCTCGGCCTTTCCCTGCATACGACGCAGAGTCTTACCGCAATTGAAAGGAAATGCACTCACCTGCGAAGCAACCCATGACCTCACCGACCCATCGCGACTGCGATCGTGGACGCCTCCGAGTGGCCTTTCTCCGCTGCCTTCGTATACCAAGCGATCGACCGCCGCGGGTCGACCGGACACGTCAGGCTGCCATACTCATAGCACTGCCCAAGCTTGTACTGCGAATGAGTGTACCCGAGGTGCCCCGCGCGTGTGTACAGCTCCTTCGCATACGCCGGGTCATACGGCACCACTTTATTGTTCGGCGACTCAAACAGCATCGCGAGCTCGTGCAGCGCATGCGGGTTCTCCTCGTCCGCCTGCTCCGCCGCGCGCTTCAGCCAATTCACCGCGTCGCGCGGGTTCTCCTGCTCCCCGAGCGATCCGCGCAGGAGGATGCAGCCGAGCTTGTACATCGCGGCCGTGTCACCCAGCGAGGCGGCCTTGCGGTAGAACGCGAGAGCCCGCCGCGGCTCTTTCCTCGTACCAGCACCGATCTCGTTGCACACTGCGACGCGGTAGCATGCGGCCGCATGGTTCTGCTTCGCCGCCTGCAGGTACAGGTGGTACGCCCGTTCGTGGTCGACTGGCAGCCCGAGCATACCGGTGCCATGGCAGTTGGCTAAGAAGAATTGGGCCTCGTCGTAACCGTTGCCCTGAGTAGCCAGACGTCGCATCACTTTCAAGGACTCTGCAATGAGCGTATCACGATATCTCTTGACGCTTTTCTGATCCTTCGCGTCCTTGCCGAACTTCTTCGCAGCCTCGATCAGGTACTTCGCGTACAAGAAGTGCGCTTCTGGATCTGGATCGTCCTTGATTCTGTGGCGGTACTCGTCAATGTACTCCTTCGTGAACGGAGGCGCGCTGAGATCGATCGCCTTGGACTTCTGTGTGCGAGGAGCGAAGGACGCTGTCGTGCCTGACCGTTGCAGCGACGGGCGGGCCCGGAACTCGACCTCTTCTTCGGTCGACATGGATGAAGGAGCAATGGACGGCGCCCGTCCGAGCGATGCCTGCGAAGATCCGGAATAGATAGAGGGAGTGCCAGACTGGTATGGACCTGCGCCAAGGTATGAGCCTGGCATATTAGGGGGTATCTGAGGAGGTCCGTTGTTAGAGTAATACTGCTGTGGTGGCAACTGTGAATATTGATCGGACGATTGCGTGGGAGCTTCGGGAAGGTACTGAGCAGGTCCTTCTTGAGGAGACCCAGCCGGTGGGTACTGATCAGGCAATTCAGCTGGAGGCGCACCAGGAGGGAATTGGCCTGGCATTTGGGACTGAGGAGCATCGGGAGGATATGGGCCAGGTGCCTGAGACGGGGAAGGTCCTGCAGCGTACTGACCAGGGGCTAGAGGTAGCGATGGTCCCAAACCATACTGACTAGGAGCTTGTGATGGTGGATATTGGCCATATCCCTGAGGTGGAGGCCCTGGAGGGTACTGTCCAGGACCTTGTTGTGGAGGGGGTTCAGGGTAATACTGACCAAGGCCTTGTGGCGGGGGAGGTCCAGGTGGATATTGCCCAGGAGCCTGTTGAGGAGGAGGGCCGCCAGCATAGTTCATGGATGCTTGACGTGGAGGAGGCCCGCGGACATACGCCCCAGGAGGGAGTGCACCACCTGGCGGCGGGCCCATCCCAAGGAGGTTGGAGGCCGCTGCGTACATGCTATTGTAATTCTGTCCGGGAGGAGCGCCCTGCGTGGCATACCCTGGGTGCTGATTTTCCCAACCCTGCTGTGATGGATATCCGCGCGGAGGCGCATAGCCTCCCTGTCCATCCTGCATCATATACCCGTTTGGAGGATGCTGGAACGACGAGTCGTCATGCGAGTGCAGGCTCGTCCCGTCCGTCTCCACCGACCCGTCGTAAGCCATAGACTCGTACTCGCTGTAGATGCTGTTCCACGCGCTCCCACTTCCCCCGCTGCCCACCGAGTGCACGGAGCTCACGTCGGCCGCGCCTGTCGGACGCGTCGGGTCGGTCGGGCGACCGGGAGGCATGCGCCTCATCACTTGCTCGTGTGCGGTTGTCATGTTGGGCATGGTCGCCATGCGGTGGGGGGACATGGACGCGGCAGGGTGCGTGGACATGGACGTGGCAGAGCGTGCGGACATTGACGTACCTGCGCGTGGGATGGGGTCTCCGTGGTTCATGACCATCCGCCCGGTCGGGTCGCTTATCCGCATGTTGTTGAGCGCACCCAGCACGTCTGTCTCCTCGTACGCCGGCGGCGGCACTGAGGGTATATCTTCATTCTCCCCGTTCGGATGGGACTGTGAAGGAAGCGAAGGCACGGAATAGTTTTGATGGCGCATGAGAGTGTTCGCTAGAACGGAGGATACAGGCCATCGCGCCAGAAGGACAGTCAGGCAATCGTCGCCACGCTAAGAGAATGCAGATGCAGCTCACGGTTTTCGGGTTGCTGGGGCTCTGCAAAGTGGCCAGCATTGTCTTGAGTATGGTAGCGATGGATGGGCGGTGCCGCCATGCCCTGGCGACGTGCATGGCGAACGTCGGTGTGAAGAGGAGGGTATTCTTGCGAGTCGGCCATACCTACGCACCGCTGCGAGCGATGTGCGCGACGGGCTGGTGGGAGTTGAGGAAGAAAGCGAATGGAAGAGAGATAGGAATCGCTTCAGTTGATCACGCCAGCTCAGACACGACAGACGGACGGATCGCGAGGATCATTAATTATACTTTGCTGCGCAGAAAGTTCATCTCACACAGTCCGGCAACGACAAGACAGATATGTATGCAATAAGGATACCATCAATTCATGTACTAGTAGCGTCCACACTACTCGAGACAGCGCTTGCATCGTCAGGCGCGGCTGCAACATCCACTTTCTCCACCTCCGTCTGCACGCTCGACGCAGCCCTAGTCTCTGGCGCAGAGGCATCTGCAGAGACTGTAACCAACTCGGTGACGTCCGTGTTGTCTGCGTTCGTCGTGAGCTTCTCAACGTTGGTCGGATCTGCCGGGGGAGAAGGGATCTTCTCGTTCGCACCCACCTCTACCTTTGCAGCGACTGCAGGCGAGGGCGGCGCAGACGGATCGCCTCTCCACACCCAGTCCTCCAGTATCCTCTCCACCCTCTGCCGTTCAATACCCTTCTCCGTCTTTCTCACCTTCACAATCACGTCCTTCCGGCTCTCAACCACGACCCACTCCCCATCTTCAGTGCTCATTAGCTCCTGCCAGTCTCCCCATCGTGCTTTCCAGTCTTCGCCCTCTGCGGGCCGTCGCGCTCTGATCCACGTGATCTCCTCGTCCGGTGGCATCTCGACTACAGCCTCCCACACTCTCCGCTTGGTGAAGTTCTTGAACATCCCTCCGCGGTCCTCACCGCCATCTGATCGCTTCCGCTTGTGTCCCACGCCATTCGTAGTCGGTTCGCCAAAGCTCGGGGTCTTTCCCAGCTTGCGGCCGCCGCGTCCCTCATCCTCGCTCGAGTAGCCGGCTGCATGTTTGATTCTCCAGCGCAGCTCCCGCGCCAGCGCCGACGCATCCTTGACACGATCTCCCGGCACCTGTTCCCTCGCCTCTCTCTTCGCGTGGTCCGTCCCATGTTCCATCGCCCGCGCTTCCGAGACAAGGAAATCCGCCAGCGCCTCGATAGATTCAAGCACCCGCGATGAGAACTCTTCTTTGGCCTTCAGGTCGCGTAGATACTTCTCTCCCACATACCAACACAGCCTGCGCACAGTATGAGTCGACCACCTATAAATAGCCATGAAGGACACCCACCGGACAAAGTATGGGAACCTAAACTTCTTCGGGACGTGAGTTGCGATCTCAATCTCGCGAACTTTAAGCTCTGCATGACAAGGTTACACGCGATCGTCATCGAGTGGAGTGCGTTACTCACGAATAGGAACGTTGTACGAGTGCACGAAGTTTCCGCCAAACACTAGGGTGTCGGCCGGTGTGTACTGCACGTAAAAGTCCAGATCATGAGATGCGATAACCGGCAGCCTGACTCACCACAGCGTGGATCCACCCGGTAGGGATGATCATCGTGTTCCCATCGTGCAGCTCGATCTTGAACACTTCGTCGACCATATCGCCCAGCCATGCGCTGTTTTGCATCTCCGTTCCTGACCACTTCTCATATGCGAGCAGGTTCGCAGGCGTCGGCCTGATAAAGTAGAATACCTAGCACGCAATCAGTATCAACGCGCGAGGCAGTTAGCGAGAGCGGTCACACTTTGGAGCCGTGCAGAATGTGATAGTACACAGATGATCCCGCAAAGTCGATATGCCAATCCTGTGTCGTGTGAGCAACAAATGTGCACGCAGTGCCAAGCGACTCACCGTCCACGATCCCACGGTTCCCATCAGACAGTAGAGCTGCACCTTGGGGTAGTTGTGGCCCCGTCCCTTTTTCGTGCTAGGCCAGAACCTTTCCACCCAGTCGAACTCCCGGACGATCCGCGGAGGAAGCACCTTGTCCGCGAGGTCCGTCCCAGAGATCTCGAGTGAGATCACGTTTCGCACTTTATCGCGCTCGGACGGCGCGCGGTCGTAGTACTCCGCCCACTTGCCCAGCGTCCAGCCGGGCAGGTTAGACTGTGTCGCAACGTCTGCAAAGTGTGAATACGAAGTTACTTAGTAAGGAGATTCATCCACACCGATAACCTCCACTGGAAAATCCTCGCCGATGATATCTGCAACGTCCCGCACGGTGAGGTTCTTGGGAGGCATCTTCATGCCCAGTCCCTCAGGGCTCTCGACAACGATCGGCTCACGCATCGCGGTGTCGTCGTTCTCGAGCCACTCGATGCCGACCTCACTGCCCTTCATACGGCGAAAAGGATCGCCCTTGAGCTGCTTGCCCTCGAGCATTCGCATCCATCTGTCAGGACCAGCTTCGGTGCCCGTGTTGTGCAGGCCAGCATAGTCGCGCTGGGTGCGCTTTCGTGCGGATTTGCGCGCAGGTGGTTTCATAGTGATGATCCGCGCGGGGTCTTGAGCGAGGCATGCTTTGCAGAACCTAGACGAGATGAGAGAACAATGAAGAGTGAAGACGCGATCAGGCTGACCACTTATCGACCGCGTCCAAATCGCCACCGTCGCCGGCACAGCGCCAGTGATACCAAGTCTTGCAGGCATCGCAGCGGACCCAATTCTCTTTATCGGCCGCATCCCACTGCTGCTGGGTCTCGTTGGGCTTGCACGCGGGACAGGAATCGTCGTCCTGCGCACGAGGGCTAGCGTCAGCGCCGTCCTGCTTGTCGTCGACGGTGGCCCCTGACTCGCCCGTTTTCTGGGTAGCTGACCTACTCTTGCGTCGACTGGCTTTGGCCATTATATGACTCAGTATGCACTCCGTTGAACGGTTTGGGCTGCGTACGGAGCCTGCAGCTTCTTAAGCAGTGGGAAAGCAGATGATCATCTCCTCCAATTGCTTACGCTCGCGACCGCTTAGTCAGCCGGGAAATAGCGCCGGCAATACGCGAACGCCTCGTTCATGTTGAGACCTTCAATCGCCCATCTATACGTCCTTACGCCTCAATTAGCTATGGTTATCCCATTGCGGTCGTGCGTTACCTCATGCGTGATTCCGACGACGTTGACTTGTCAAAAGGAAATTGATTGTTGTGCGCACTCGTCTCATGTGCTTTAGATACCACACCGTTTGCCCTTGGTGCGCCGTGTACTGCTGATAAGCGGATTCCTCGTCGTACCAAGACAGATAGAGTCGCTATACACTAAGCGTAATATGTCTTCAAGAACTACGTTCCTGCACAGTAGCCATGGTCTACGCACAGTCCGCACGATGGAGTTTAGACAGGAAACCAGTGGCAATCGTTACCTCAGGTCCACAATTCACTGTTCTGTCCGCATAGCGACGGACACGTCCAGCATTGGGCTGGCGCAGAACGCGAGTGCACAGTCATGACAACGATGCCAAATGATTCACTTGCCGTCGATCTGTAGCCACATGCTCCACCTCCTCCGTTCCTCCTCATCGCCCTCAAACACCCAATTCACTCTCTTGATTTCTGAGAAGCCCTCACTAAGCTGCGGTTCCTCATACGCCGCGCGAAAGCTTGTGAACGCATTATACGGAAGCAACTCTCGTTTTGGCTGGCATGGACACGACACTGTCAGCTCCAATAACGAGCAAATAATAAAGGAAATTTGCACCTGTTTTTCAGCGGCAGACGGTGGCAGGTTATATGCGCGGTAGAGGTTATTGTGCCACGCGAGCTCGAGAGAGCCGTTGAACAGTATACATCTACACCACCTCGACGTTTAGTCAGAGCTCGCTGGAAAAGAAGCTGACACACCGTATCGGAACCTTAAGCCTCTTCGCGAGTTCGACGTAATGTCTCCTCGTCTCGGCATTGCGGTTCGTGTTGTCTACTGCACGCTCAGGAATTTCAAAAAAACGTGACAGGATGACTGCATACCAATTACACAGCTCTTGCCGTCCTCGACCGCTTCTTGCGCGGCCTTGACACACTTCTCTCTCGTCCGCAGCGTGTCTTGGTTTATGTGGACATAGCCCGCAGGCTCAAAGTGTCTTTTGTAGAATGATGATTTTCCGAGTGACGGATATCCGACGAAGACCACAATCTCGGGCTGCTGAGTCGACGAGGGGATAAGAGGCGTGGATGTGGGTAGGACCCGCGGGGCTGCTCGGGATAAGCAAAAACACCGCAGGCGGTCAAACGCATGACATACGATCTTTCGGTAGCGAGGACACATGAAACCCGGTCAGCGTATATGGCGCTGAGGGGAGCTTGAGAAAGTATTCCTGGGAGGGATAGACTGTGGCTGTTAGAGTCATGAGAAAGACAGAACCCAGCTACCTCAGGTGTCAAGAATGGCAGACCGATATTCAGCGCCCATTTGCGGTCTGTTGCCGCGTGGTCATGGGAACGACCTGCGGCATCTCCGACGAAAAAGGAGTGCTCCTTGTCTGCAAAGAGAGAAAGCTCAGCAGCCTGAAACTGACAGGGCACACGCAGCCTACATACCAATCTGCACGTTGTCTTCCGCGAAGATATGTTCGAGCTGGTACCACATCCCAGGCATTGGCTTGCGGTACCCATCGCGGGCTATGGACGCTAGCAGGCGGAATGGGATATCTGGGAGCTATTTTGCATCAAACCATATGTAATGTAACATGTTCGGAGACACTGTACGTACAGCCGCACCAATCGCAGGGATCTTCTTCTTCCAGTCCACTAACGCCGTGCTGCGCAGGGCCTGGTTTGTAATGATGACTATTGAGTACCTGGTCATGGTGTCAGCTATAATTGTCGTCTGCAGTGATGCAAGAGAGGGACATCAAGTTGGACGTGTGTCTAGATCATGACTAAGTGCGTTTACAGACCCTTCCTCATGCACCGCCTTCAGCTTGGTTGGAATGATGGGTCGCCACCATTGGAATGTGGGTGGCGTATTGCCCTTGCTTTTCTTCGGAAAGCTGGACTGAATGATGCAGCCGTCAAGATCAAAGGCAGCGACTTTGGGCCGAGGTTCGGGAGTCCCATTGACTCCGTGCAAGCACGTCTGCTTTGGTCCGAGGGCAGGCTTGATCCATCGAAAAGTGGATTGTTCGCTGCTCGTGCTTGTCCCCGGCTTCTCGAATATCGGAAACACTCCACATGAAGCGTGAATCTACCAGGCGCCACTATTGGCTTGTACCAGACTTACCCTTTATGACCTTCTTAGGACCACCATCTTCGGCATCACCTAATTGATCCGCGGATCGCTTATTTGCGATAGATCCAGGCGCTGCGGGTCAATTTAGCCTTTGAAGTTTCGCGCTGTGGACGGGAGAACCTCGAGCTTACGTCTAATGGACTTGGTGGACATAAGGCACTTTCGAGCCACTCGAGACAGGGAGAGACCGGAAAGTGAGAAGGCCAATCTAGGAGGACTACAGTGACAGGTGGTAGTGGATGTGCGTGAGGAGGGCAGTCACGTCCCAGGTCGCAAGGGAATCGCGCCACATCAATTGAAACGCGCTTGTGGCCCCTCACGTGCACGCGTCTCACGGTCACATCCGCATTTTCAAACGGCCACCTGCATGGATATGGATTAGTACCGTTCACGCGTTGTCTGCTTGCTCAGTGCAGCTTGTCCATCTTGGGTGTATTTGGAACACACGTATGTTCTCTGTCTCGGGGCGTATGTCTCAGTCCGTTTGTCGGTTCTTTCGAGATCCCCGAGTCACGACTACCACGTTTGCTAATCTATATTCGGCCACGGAAAACATGAACGTTATGATGTGGGCTGTGCTACGGAAAGGTATAAATATACGGCATCGTGAGCTCATTCAGCGAGGCGTACTTCCGTTCCACACAACTACGAATTCTACCACTATAATCTGCACCTTCACCTGCCCAACGAATACCGGGAACGTGCACTGTGATGGTCGGTCTCCATCTCTTATCATCCTGATTTAATGAGCTCGTTTTGATACATATGACAGGCCGCGCGTCCACGGAAATGCTCCCTGCCTGTCGAGGTGTGCGAGCGAGTCGTGGGCTACCTTGACATCATGAACGAGGGCGATTATCGGACGCTGTTGAACTGTGCTTTGGTCAGTCGGGGCTGGTATCCAGCAAGCCGTGCTGTCTTTTTGGAGACCGTCTACCTCAAGACACGGAAGCAGCCATACAATCTCAACCACATGCTCAAAGTCAACCCCAACAACGGTCTCGCAGAGCGCATACGCTGCGTCCATCTCTCGGGTCTCGAGGCTTCGGAGCCAACCAAGAAGCCCGCTGTGTACAGTCCAGTGTCTGCATTTCCACCTGTTTTCGTGCGCAAGCTTCCCAATCTACGCACGCTCGAGATTTGCTGCATCAACCCCTGGGACCACAGCATTGGCCGGGACTTCTACCTCGCTTTAGGCTTGTTTGACAAGGTGGAATCTTTGACTCTGAGGGACATCACCTTTCCGTCGCTATCTGAGTTCGCGCAGTTCGTCTGTGCCTTGCCCAATCTCAAATTCCTTTCGTGCGAAGCGCTACGCTGGGACCGACATAACCCGAGTCCATTCATCTTCCTTCAGCACGGGCCCCGTGCCACTGTCTCCGAGCTTGTCTTGAAAACTATGCGGGCACCGATGGCGGATGCAATGGACTTCCTCCTACCATATGTTTCTAGGACAGATCTTCGACGACTCCGCGTAGGGCCAGTCTCAGCTTCTGATGTGAAAGAATCGAGAATTCAGGAACTGCTGCACCAAATTGGACCATCGCTGCAACGCATAACTCTAAAGTTGGATCCGGCCATTGATGACGAACGGAGGCATGGTGAGTACCACAGCATGTAGCTGAACCACTTAAGCACCTTATACTTCATCAGAGGAGTATTTCAGTCTTGAAAAGAATATCGCTCTGGAGACTCTATCACTTGAGATTAAGGCATTCCACGAGAAAACCTATGATCTCAGCTGGCTGCCGCCTCTGCTCTCCTCAATCTCATCGAAGCAGATTCGCGACATCCACATCCGCCTCGTGATCGACACTCCGCAAGACGTCTTCGACTCTGTCAATGCAGGGTTTACCCCTGCACGCTGCTCTCTCATAGACCGGACCTGCACAAGCAGCGGCTTTGCCAATCTCAGGCGCCTTGCTATCCAGGTTTTCGATTATTCCGATGCAAGCATGAACAAAAGGAGGACCGCTCGATGGTGCAAGAGGTTCGCGGAATATTTTTCTGGCTTACAGAAGAAGCAAATCTTATTGTACGTCCTGATGGCCTCCTCCTTGTATTCGTGATAACGCTGAATGCCCTTCGGCGAATTCTAGTATCGAGATACTTCCTGTGATGCGCTACTAGCCTAACAATAATCGGCTGCATCCACGACGCTATGACTCGCGATGCACATCGTCTGAAGAAGAACCCGTATTATTTGAAAGTTCTTTCGGTCACATATCATTGACAGTGCTTGGATTTCAATTGTTGAGGGTCTGGCTCTTGGATTGTATCATAGCATTCATTTAGTTGTTTGGTCTGCAATCTTGTATACCCTCGCAGTGTACAAGTATCAACGTCCCATACGCTCCTGACTTACATATCGTCTCACGCATTGCCGCAATTGCGCCTGTCCTTGCGGCCTCGTCTGTTAAAGAGATAGCATTATGTGCTCATCGGGAATCCCTTGAAAGGTGAAATAATCACAGGTTCACTGAACGCGGCTACTGTGTCTCCCTTCTGGACCCCATTGTTACAGGCTCTCACAACTTCATTTGCCTGATCCGCTGTGCCATCTCATACCCGTGCGCAAAATGCGAGAGCCGCGCGTCAATCACGAAGCCCTGCTAGGTAACAAGCCCATGAGTGCGTTTCTCTGGTAAATCGTAACACCATCGCCTGTAGTCCATACCTTCTTTCCATATTCTGCGAGACGACATGAAGTCTCTTAGCAAACCGTTGGTCATGAGTGATGAACACGTACCCTTCAACTCCTGTGCCAGCTTCGTCAACTCGACGATACGTACCGTGATATGCTCGCCTGCATCCAGCTTCTGCGCGGACATCTCGAGCTTGTCGGGAAATGGCACGTCGACTGTGACCACCTTCATGTTGGCTGTGGTCATTCCTGATGGATCACACAATCAGCTTGATGAGGATCACATCGGGCGCACGGAGCGGTAACAAACCGGGATCGCAAACGAGAAGCGGCGATGATTCGAGCACCTTCTTCCCTTTGAATCCGGTCTCTTCCTCCAACTCCCGGATCGCAGCTGCCTCTGCGGTCTCAACGTTGTCGATCAATCCTGAGCATATATTCAGTGCGCGTCGACGAAAACGAGTCTTCATTAAGCATACCAGCGGGTAACTCTACAATAAAATTGCAGTTGTATTACAATATCACGTTAGAGGACAACATACCGACGACAAATGAGCCTACTGGAGGACGATATTGCTCAATGATCACAGTTGATGGCTGGAACGCGTTCGATTCGGAGCGGAGCACAGCGAGAATCGCAACAGCTATTCACGTTGACAATACGCATTTGTTCTATATTTTCACAACGTACCATCAACTCCCGACGATGCTCGTGTCGTCCGCTCAGCGCATTCCCAAGTTCTCTATGATCTTGCGTCTGAAGGTTGGCGCACAACAGGACTTCGACATTTACGCACCTGTTTGCCGTCCTGGTCACTCCAGTATATCTTTTTCAGTGAAACCCACCTAGCATTGGTTTCAGTTTCGGTTGCGCCGTGATCAGTGGAGTGTACGTCTGAATACGCTCGATGCTCACTTTGCCTCCGACGTCGGCAAATCCTCCTTCAACAAGATCTCAGGTTCTTGCGGCATGTTATTTCTGGCCGAATGTAGGAATAAACGGGGATATATGATGTAGAGAGGGTAAGGCCTATTCAAGGGAATACGCCGAGCAGCTCTATGCAGTAATGGGACTGCAAGCATGTCTGACGTAATCGGCTGATGGACGAATATAGACAGGTTTATTTGGTCTTGTAGTGCAAAAGCTTCGTCCCTGAACAGATATGGAAATGATGTGGCCCTTCCAAACTCTGCGGAGCGAGCACATTGTTATCCAGTGCTCCATTTTCTTATGGTCAAGACCGCTAGCTTCTATGCATTCTGCGTCGAAACGAAAGTGAATGACTTTGGGCGCAGGAAGTCCAGTGGCAAGTCGGCAGGCCTCATCGCGACAGCCATCAGTAACCAGTTCAAGCCGTCGGGCTGTTTATGAGAACTATCCAACCCAACACCATGTCTCCAAGATGTAGTAACACGTCATGTCAATGTCCTTGGTCGCACGTCCGCATGCTCTCGGTGCCGAATGTGTCACAATGCCATAACCCCGAATCAAAAGTGACATTAAAAGATGTACTTCGATTCCTTCGCATCAAACGTCGCTGGATCACACTGCTAGCCATTATTCAGCTTTTGAAGAATCCAATTTTCTTAACTACGAGCAGCCACAGCCATTACTAGGGCATCGCCAACATCTGGTTGCAGTAAAACTTTGACGTCACCTTCCTGCTCAACCGCCCATTCATATGCATCAAGCAACAGGGTGTCAGTTAATGGGATGAAGTGTGCTGCGAGGACGCGTATGATGTTCGTAACACGCGAGATGGCAGTGAGAGTCGCGGTGTCAATATCCTACACACAAAAAATCAGATTGTAGGTAGAGCAGAACAAAACTGCACAGCTTACATCATTCTTGTTCGAGTATACGGCCTCAGCATCGAATGCTTCCTCCCCCTCTTGCTGGCTTTGCTTCGTATGCTTGCTTACCCAGATGTATCCGTTGAGTCCAAGAATTATGTCTACTCCACAAGGAAGCGATAGGAAATGCGACTTTAATCGCCGAATTAGCGCGGGTGGAACTGTGACCAACTGCCCGTTACGTAGCTGTAATGATAATCCTGGATTAGGCATGTAAGCGTTTTTCGGCAACGATCCCAAACTCACCTTGCCATAACGCAGCGAACGAGTATGCAGCGACATGGCTCCATCGGCAAAGAATGCTTGCACTTCGGCGACCAACAGGTCGCCCTCCTCGAAGAAAGTCCGCATTTGCAATTCATCGCTCTCCAGTTTGCGGCGCTACGAACATGTGAACCTTTCCAGTAGCACAACACCAAGAGAACAGCCGGACCTGTACGCCGCCCGGCAGGTTCACAGAGGAAAGCATCAAGACCGCATCTTGCCTCGAGTTGGCATCTACCTTCCATCTGCGTGGTTGTACCTACGCTTTCAGACACGTTTAGCGATTCGCAACACTTTATAGATCGTACTCACCTCCGTAATCCTCCCCACGACTAGATCGCCTATTTCTGGATTGTACCTACATACAACTGTCAGTAGATTGGAGGGAAGTGAAGCGCACGCTGACTATACCTGGACCGGATGGCACGCACGGTAACCAGCTTGTTAACACGTTCCACCATGCCTGCGACGGATGCAATTACTTCATCATTGTCCACATAGGTTCCATGGCCACTGTCAAAACGCGTTCATCACTAGGTATGTAGTGGGATATGAGGATACTCTACCGCATGAACGCCTGTGCGGACGTGAGCGGCACGCCGGGATAGGTCAACTTCAAGGACCCGTCTCCAAAGTCCTCATCATCGAAGTCCATCTGGATGTCCCCCTCGACATCTGGATGGTGTCTTGCCGTAGCATAGCGATCCTGCTCCTGATGTGACGCAGGGAAAGAGGCGAAGTGAAACATCCTCAATGCATATAGCCCACTAATATATGCGACACTGAGGTTGGAGCTCTGCAGGGTCGCAACGATCAGACAGAAGTCCGCTAACTGTTTGGAGTAGCGTAAAGCTGAGATCAACTCTTGGCTGCACAAGCGCTCGCGGTGTTCTCCAGCACTTCGCAGGCGCTTTTTATGTATGTGGCTATGTGGCTGAGCGCCATAGGCGCCCAGTTCAAGGTTGCATCGACTCGAGCAATTACGTTCAATCAACCGATTCCTGCTCACTCTACATTCATGGATGTACGTTTAAAGTACTTATGCAATGCACAGTAGCCAGTTCTTGTTGGTTATGAATGAAGTGCTCAAAGAATCCTCATAGTGCGATGATCTGTGCCAATTGAAATGAAGTTATGGACACGCTCAATCACGAATGGCGTAGCACAGTAAGCATTAGTGGTTATTCTGCCCATAGCTGATGCATGACTGAACTCCATTCTGCTATATGCTCGACGTATCATGTCGTGCGCAGGTACTTCTTACATACTCCATAGACCTCTGAACCTTCTCCGGATGGCCTATGGCACTTCTGTTCCGCAGGATCGCCACAATGACGCAGAGCGATTATGCCAGTGCCATCTCAACTGGACCGTGTGATGCCATCGCCAGTCAGCAGACCAGTGCCTTACTTTAGAAGTGCGAGAAGGTGGCACGGGTATGCATCGGCAGATTGTGATTTGTTCGGATGCTTTGAAGGACTTCCACGGATGCACTTCGACTTCACCGCCTGCTATGATAGAATCGGCTTCGTCGGCACCGCCCGCGGTAGCTTGCCTGTCTGCTGCTCTATAAAGGCAACATGGACGCAGCATTCCGTTCTTGCACCAGACAAGACACTATGGCATCCGATTTCTCATCTGCGGCAGTATCTGTCACGACCTTCATCCTTATTCTCTCGCTGCAGCTGCTATGCAGTCGTATGTTCTACGCCGCTCGTCATGTTAAATTGCCTCCTGGTCCGCGTCCGTTACCTCTGCTTGGGAACATCCTCCGATTACCCCACGACTTTCAGGAGAAGACGTTCGCCCAGTGGGGTGCACAATACGGTAGATGAATTAACAAGAATGACGAACATACAATCAGTACTGATCTCGCGTCATGCCGAAGGTGATGTCGTCTCCGCGCGGTTCTTCCGCACCCCTGCCTTGGTGATCAATTCTCTGCAGGCAGCACGGGATCTGCTGGAAAGAAGAAGTGCAACTTATTCTGATAGGCCGCGTTTCGTCTACATGGGTGCGCTGTCAGCCCAATTATCAGGCGCGTTATGGGCATGCTGATGAAATCCAAACAGGATGGGCTGGAAAGCCATGATCACACTTAGGTCTACGGATATACGCTTTCGGAGGCATCGTACGTGGATGCAGAGTGCGTTGAAAGATAAGGCGGCGCTGCTACGTTATCGGCCTGTGCAGCAAAGGGAGATATCAGTCCTACTAGCTGGACTTTGAGACGCTCCGGAACATTATTCTGCTCAATTCAGAAGGTACCGCATTTTCCGTGCTTCAGCGGGATGGCAGACTACTGACTTTGAGCCTCAAGGTTTGCCGCCGGCACCGTTGTGGAAATAGCGTACAGTCACACCGTCAAAAATGACGACGACGATTACGTCCGCATGGCGGAGAAGGTAATGATAGAAGTGACAACTCATGGAGCTCCCGGAGGGACACTGATTGATCTCTTACCTGCCTGTGAGTGACTATCTTTGGAGAACGTTCATCAGAGTAATCGCATCAACAGTGAAATACTGGCCCTCGTGGCTTCCAGGAGGCTCCATGAAGCGACGAGCTACCAATGCTAGCAAGCTGGTGAGGGAGATGCTAGATGCTCCATTCGCAATGGTTAAACAAGGAATGGTAATTATTCTTATGAGGTGGCGAACCTAAGATTTGAGCTGACCAATCACCTCAGGCCTCTGGGACTGCCTCACCGTCCTTTGCATTAGATCTCCTACGGGAAGCATCTGGTGAAAGGCCGCTTACGGAACAGGACGAGGAAGATATCAAAGGCGTCTCCGGTGTTCTATACGGAGGTTGCTATCTCCCTGAAGCTTCATGCATCGAACGATCTGAGCTGTCCCGTTACAGCGGCTGTTGATACGGTAGTAGTTGTCCATTGCTGTTGCGTCCCCACAAGACTTAGCGCTTCTATCTAGACGGCTGCGACGCTGGAAGTGTTCTTGCTCGCGATGGTTCTGAACCCCGCCGTATACAAAAAGGCCCAGGCAGAAATTGACCGAGTCGTCGGGAAAGAGCGTCTTCCAGACTTCGATGACCGTCTCTCGCTTCCCTATTTAGAATGCCTGATCAAGGAAACGTATCGGTGCGTAAGTTTACATCCTCACGGATTCTGCTTGCTGAGCGGATTTGGTTGTCAGTTGGCACACTGTCGTGCCTTTAGGCGAGCGTTTTCATTTGGTGCTGCCGATATGCAAGCTTAATCCACATAGGTATACCGCACCGATCGGTCTCTACGGACAGTTACCGTGGATACGATATCATGGCAGGCTCCATGGTCATTCCGAACATTTGGTGAGTGGACGTCAGCGATTGTACTAGCGAAAGGTTGTCTTATGACTCAGGGCAATCTCGCGGGCTCCAACAATGTACCCTGAGCCGGATGCCTTCCGCCCTGAACGTTTTGAACAGGACGGTATCGTCGATCCGCGGAAGTTCGTATTTGGCTTTGGACGTCGGTAAGTCTCTTACTGCTACTGCAAGTGATGAAGTAGCAACGATGACTGATGGAATATGGCTAAGCATTTGTCCTGGCCGACATGTCGCGGATGGAAGCGTATGGCTTGCCATTGCAAACATCGTAGCGGCATTCGATATTTTCAAGGTTCAAGACAATAGAGGGCTGGACATCGTTCCTCGGCAAGCCTTTACGTCTGGATTCACAAGGTATCGTGCAACTGAGTACACGATCGCCTTAATCAGTATTGACGCTCCGATAGCCGACCTGTTGATTTCGTATGCACCATCAAGCCGAGGACCGACAAAATTCACTCTGTGATCGCCAAAATGAGCGAAGGACTCAGCGTTTGAGCGTGTTCTCAAGCCCGGGTCCCTTCGTTTTGGCTTTTTCTGATCCCAGGATGAGAAAAGGCACTTCTCCATATAAAATGAGTTCGCTTCGAGAAGCCGGATTGTTTGTGACGTCGAAATCTTATCCAACCATCTCCGACATTGTTCCAGTTCCTTGCTTATACATACATCTTATAAAGTCTTCAGATACTATCAGCCTGATGTCCCGTCTGTTCTCATCCAACCTGCTCCTTCTTGTCCAGGTCAACTAACAGACTTCTCTCGCACTCTGTGGAAACCAGACGCTTTACTGTACGTACTGCATCAGCCAGTGATACGATAGTGCTGTACTAAACTCTCGCACAGATGATAAACAGCATTAGGCTCATAAATCAGCCTCCGTACAGGAAGACAGTCATTCCTTATACTCAGGCTAGGATCATCGCTACATAGGTGTCCAAAGGGAAGTCCCCCGTGGGAGTGCGGAGTTTCATCGTGCCGACGGCAATTCGACGAAGCTTGACAAGTTGAAGCGAACACTGTCGTCTTGCCGGCAAAGGGAACTGCACGCATAAGAGCCCTTCATAAGTGGAGGCACGACTTTCGCCGAGACGCACACCCATCCGAATTCCGTGCAGCAGTCACGACCAAGCCCCAATTGACCCTGCACCAGTACTTAAGGGAGAACGAAGACCCCCGTCACGTTGAGTGCCGACTTGTCCAGCTGCTCCTGGGGCATGGACACATCGGTAGCTATTATCATCGCTTCGTGGCAGAAGAGTCCACAGTTTGCCAGTGCCGTACTGCTAACATACAGACTCGCGAGCACTTGCTCATACACTGCCCGCTCTACACCCATCACCGCCACCTCCTCGGCAACCCAAACCGCCCCATCCGCTTGGCGCGACTCTTTACCTCCAAATACGCCCGGCATCAGCTCGCGGCGTTCCTCACGGAGACCGATGCGTACACGAAGACATCCCTGTTCCCTTGGGATCCGGGTTAGGGGCTTTTGCGTAGAGCTCTGCGCTTGATGCGCGCGCCTTGTATTCGTCCCTGGATGCGTCCAGTCCGCCGTAGACACCTCCCTGTCCACACACCATCGACCGCCTTCGGCGGTATATAAATTGTAACCAAAAAAAACTGTCGTCTTGCCCTGACCTGGTGCAATAACTAGAAATACCTCGTGCCCTTTGATGATGTCTGGTCCGTGTCTGATCTGGAATTCACGAGGTTGCCAGGAGATCCTGCACTTTCGAGAGACTAGCTAAGCCATTCAGCATCAATGAGGGTCATCAACAGAAAGCTGAGTGAGTTCTGATATATTCATATCAAGTCTGTGCAGTAGTCATGTGCGAACGAGCATGCCAGCGTCGAGCGACACGCGTATGAGGACTGTGCAGGCAGAGATAGAGCCACAGCCTGACACGCTCTTGAGGCGCGTCCTCTGGTCATGTGGTCGCATTGTGACGGTGGCGGTGGCGGTGGGATGTTCAAACTCAGCGGTCCCACGGCTCTACTTCTCACTGGACCCCTAAGTAGTTCTCAGCTCTAGCCTAGAACAGCATGTCGAAATGCTTCACTGTCGACTCGAAGGTATCTCTGCCAGAATATGAGCAGGCTATGAAAGTGAGCATGATGGACTCACTTGCCTCGCATCATTTTGATAATCTTGGAGTGCCTATAGGACGTTGCAGAGACCGAGTTCCTCATTCTGAAGCCGAAAAACGGTGGTGAAGTGTTGGTGTCTCGCAAGCGCGACATCATATTTCACTGGCAACACTACGAGAGCTTGTACCATATGGTGGACTTCTATTTCGTTGAGGCCCGTTGGGTCGAAGTCTCCGTGCATAGAAATGACATGGATACTTCGATGCAAATCAAGCGGACACTCGGCGGGCGAGTCGACCGTGACAGACCTGCCTTGGAAGCTCTCCTTAGGGTCCAAGCTCAGAGAATTCTGGCCAACAGTGCATTCAAGGCCTCCGCTTTGGCGCCGTCATCTCAGGAGGGATCCACTGAGTACACCATGAAGTTGAAACCGGGCACTACGTTGTAAGGCTCCAACTATTTATACTATTTACACTCCTGAGGTGTAAATAAATAGTATATAGTAAACAGTTATCTATATGTCATATAAACAGTTTATATAAAGTTTATATAGTTTTTTTGGTCCCATCTTTTGATGGAGTTTTACTCAACTGTGAGCAGCCTCTGTGATTGTTGAGGCCTTTAAGGACCTGTTTGCATCAGCAAGCACATGACAGTGAGCAGAAAACAAGCATTCAATGTCAACACTTGCACCAGAAATGACCAGAAAATCTTATGTCATACAAAAATGACAAGAAACTCATGTTCATGAGCCTATATGATGATAAACTGTCAGTGGTGACTGCTGTTAAACACTATGACTTTCAATTGGCTCACTGCTGTGCTGTCAAATCTAGCAATTGTGCACTCAATAGCCCTATATCATCATAAAACTATTTATACTATATATATACATCTATTTACTATGTACAGGCCTAACTGTAAATAAACAGATATAGTAAACAGTTAAAACTATGTAACATAGTAAATAGATAGAAATGTTGGAGCCTTACTACGTTGATAACCTACCAACGGATGTTCGTCTTTCACGTCCATGAGTGGTTCTGCTCGGATTCGTGGGCCATCTTGTGGAAGCTCGGCGGAGACAGTCATCCAAGTCTGAGAAATAACATCTACGTCCCTGTTTATATGGACGAATACATCTGCCGGACACATAAACTGGAAGGGACGGGCAAGATAGAGGTGCCAGGTGCTTTCGAGGATGTGGAAGGAAGATGGAGGGATGTGCGACCGAAGAGGTTGTCCGATGGAACCGACAAGTGTAAGAAAGCGTTACAGGGCCCGGGTCACAGATTGTACTACGCATAGGGGTTGACCATTCTTCGTACTCAGGTGCTTTAGCATATGCCGTTTTGATGAAGTACTTCGTACTCGCTTGATATTTCAGACCGTATGATGGTTGGTTCATCCCCCCCTCCATTTTTATTTGTTTAGTATCTTGCGATGTTTGACAATTACTATCAGTGTGTTACGATCATCGCTCGTAACCACCTTCTAGGCGCTCCAAGGATAGGACGTCTAGGCCGCTCCACCATATACCCTTACTATATAAGGACATTACCACGTGGCTATCATAGGATACCCACGCCACAAGGACATTCGGACATCCCTCGGACATGTACAAGTCACGTGACCCTATGTCACGATGACATCATAAGATCTAGACTAGGTAGACGCACTGAGGCCTCTACGGACTCGTCTGGACTTAGCTACGTCATAGCACACCATAGCACGCCACTATGGCCTAATCTTGTGTATTAGGGTACCGCTGGGCTTACCCCCGGTACCAGGGGTCCTACCTCACTAATATATATACTGGCTCGAGCTGGGACCTACTCCCCAGTTTTGAGTTAGACCTTCATCCCTTCTACTTGAGCCAGAGGACCTTGGCGGGTCAGGCGAGAGTTAGAGTGCGTGGGTTCTTTAGGCCCTTAACACAGTGGCCCCACAATGCAATTGCAACCCTAATGCAATTCACGTTTTCCGTCTTGATAACACGTTCAAAAATCTGAAAAATTCACACGATGTACATGCAAGTATTACAGTCAAGGCTGCCTATTCAGATTTTTGACATTGCATGTTGCTGGCATATGGTACGAGTAGTTACAGTGAAGAGCCCCTTTTTGATGCTTTCCCGAGGCTCGCTTGCTCGTGCAGCTGATCATGGCCTCATGAGGCTCTCAGGTAGACTTCGTATATATGTGAACTCTATGTTGACAGAAGCCGACATATATTGTATGAGCCCTGCATTCTCTGGGAGGAGTGTAAGGAGTGAGTGGCTGCCAGAACGAGAATCATACCCAAATAAGGAAGGTTCAGAAGGTCCATTCGAGCTGAGAATGGCGGAGCTGCGTCACGGTGGCTGACGATTTTTGACAATTGCATTGGTGTTGCGACTGGAAGTCATCCTCAGATCCATCCACTTCGCATCCTGTTCACTCACAAATATTCATCAGTGTTCTCAAGACCCCAGTCTTTGTAAGAATAAAATCTCCGAGGGGGTCTGCTCACTGACAGCAGAATAGAACGCGAAACCCTGAGAAAATTGCATTAGTGGGCCAGTGATAGTATGACAGCTGTGCACGATGATCCAGTCTTAGCCACTTTGCCTGCGACGCAGTCCCGTGACGTGTTGGTTCAAACACGTTCGCGGCTGTGGCGGCTGGCAACGTCATCTGAGTCTAAAACCATGGTTGAACACGGCTGACAGTGAGCCTCTTATTTGTCCGACAAACAACTTTTCATGCCTATATAAACCCTCCCAGCTCACGCGAATCCCCTCTCCTCACTTCTTCCTCTTCCTTCACCTTCCTTTTGTTTCATGGGTTTCTTGCTTTCGATTGCAGGTAGCGGGCTCTTCGCGTCCACTGGGTGAGCAGTACCCTCTATTCTATTAACATCTACTCTACTCACGCTATTCATTTATCATGTCATCTCCACTGCAGCACCGTCAGGGAGGACCCCCGAAAATTCTCCAAGAGCTTCGATCCTGCTGAGGCTCGATATGGGGTCTCGAAAATGGTCCGAAGTGGGGTGTTTTGGATCGAACCTCCTCCCAAACGGGGTCAATTTGGGGGTGATTTGGGATCAAACCTCTACAAAGAAATCTATCAAAATTGGATAAAATTGTACAGAAATTGAGAAAAATTGTTTAAGAAATGGTGAAAAAATCTCTGGAACACCATCGTCCTGGATGAAAGTGGAGTCATTCGGGATCAAACCTGAGCCCGAAATGGTCCCATATGGGGTCTGTTTAAGATCGAACACTTTTGGTCGCAGGGGGGTCAGATTTGGGGTATTGGCATCAAACATTCCACGCTGGAGATCCCCCGAGGGGGTCTCAGGGATCCAAGCTCTTGGGGGATTTTTGGGGTCCTCGTTAGGGTTGCCGGTTCACGTCCTTGATGTCAGGTTAGCCCCTTCCACCGCAGACATGAAGCAATTTGCGCATGTGGCAAATGCTTAGCAAATGTCGACAGGTTTTTTGCCTTTGTGATCTCAATTTGCTA